ATAGGAAACGTGATTATAACAATCAATAATTGTCATGTGAGATATAAATGACAACCACGCCGCAATGCAAACGTCATTTCACTACTGCTACAAGTCTGTGGGAATAGTTGAGCACGCTAGAATCTCGACTATCAACAATGTATAAGTCTGTTTTCAACGGTGTGATTGCAATCGTGTTCATTTGGAGCAATGTTGCAATTCTGTGCGTACTGTGTCCAAGCCCTTCTGGAATTCATGATGAATCGAAGTTAGCTGGGCAGATGAAACTCTGCTGGAGGAGATGTGGCCTTAGGTTTCAAGCAGATGACGCGGAATCAACATCAAATGAAGCGGTGATTAAGCAGTTCTTACACTGATTTAATGTAATGTTTATTTTAGTTCTAAGACAAACTAAAAGGCAAGGAATGTTTATAAGTCTAGAACTTTAACTCGTAATCACCACGATTAACCGCGTGGGACGTAATTTCATAATCTCCAATTCCGAAGTCGTCTTCATCCAAAATAATTGCTAGTTACTCTAATTACCTACAAAACCGAATGGAGAAATCGAAAACAAAAGTACCGATAACACTAAAAACAAGATAACATGCAAGGTAGTAATATTGTATTGAGCTACATTTGCGAAATGCAGAAAATTCAAATACTACTTTCATTAGGGTTTGATGGCTAGCTCCTCAGGACTTTCCTTTTTAAGTTACGATGTGTTTATTGAGGATAGCTTTCGGTTTTTGCGCTATGAGGCTGCGCTATGTAATGATCAGATGACTGATGAAGATACGACAGTCGATTGATCAATCTTACCGACCAACGATGACCTCTGTGATAGCGTTATGCCTTTAGCACGTAAACTATCTAGTTTCTACGAAATCTTTTTAAAACTTCCTGTCCATTGGACCTCAAAGAATTTTGATATACGACGGTTTCATTTCTAAAATTATCACTCCCGTGAGAGAAATAATGTTAGGATAAAAATACCTTTAAGGCCCATTTCCAACCTTGATGCAACGAGGTCGTTAGTTTTTGTTTTGAATAACCGCTTTTGTTCAAATAGCGCCTCTGATTGGTCAGTTATTTTTACCTTGTCACGTTGCCTCAAAATACCTTCTGCGTTTACTCCGACGATAATAAAGAGCTTGTCAAAATAATTCAATTTAAAACAGTTCTATACGTTTTAATCCGGCATGGAATCAGATGAATCCATTGATTTTGTAGATTCCGAGGCAGTAAACACTTATGGATCGGTTGTTGCCAAAGAGGAATACGAAAATCCTTGCGAGTATTTCGAAGAAGGTGAAAATGTTGATCCACGACGTTTTCATCCATTCATCAAATTTGCCATCCTTGTTAAAAAGGAGCAAGAGTCAGTTGAAGTTACCAGCCCATGGAGAGGAGCTTGCGCTCAAAAGAGTGGTCGAGGTTGTTGTCTATGCAAAGCAGCAAATAAGAATTGTAACGCAAACTGTCAGTGTCGCTGACGTTTCTGCAATGAAGTGACTAAACTTAAAATAATTAAACATCCGGCAGTCCGATATTTTTCCATATTCCTCATCGCGATCTAAAAAATATTTATACGAAAATGTTCTACCTTTATTTACAATTTTCAAGCGCTTCCAGGCAGCTTGAAATTTCGAACTTGATGTTTTTCGCTAACCCTGTATACAGAGTAAGAGGCCATCCAAACTGTTCAATGACACAGCTGGACACAGTCCTCAAATAACTCCATATTTCTCTCTGAAGTATACCAATCCTCAAGCGCGTCTAGAAAGTGAAAAAATTCGTTGTCCAGTTGATTTTGATGGTCGCAGGGGAATGTCGAGTTTGTCGCTCGAAACCGTTGTGGTTCATTAGAGCGCAACATCATTAGTGGTGGAAAATAATCTGCGGAAAGGAGGGTTAGTTCATCGGGTACCATATACTAAATCTCGGGAGAAACTGCAAGAATTATTTCAGAGTGTATGTGTGTTGTTTTGTAAATATAAACACTGTAACCTATTTTAACTTGTTTTTGTGTCCTTTTAAGCAACGTGATGTGTCTGTTATGACCAGAGTGCTAAATTTATTCTTTAATTTTGATCTTCTCCACACTGTGCATTGTTCATGACCTGATATTTCAATGTAAATTATCGAGAAGGTGCCTTCCGATCACCTTTGTCTACTTTGTGAGTCACGCAAGCGCACAAGCGTTACGACCGATCACGTTTATGCAACGTTTTAGGACAACTCGGCATCTAATCTCCATTCAGTTGCTGTGAAAACCTAAAATCCTCGACGTAGAAGATTAACGAACGAAGTTTGAACGGTGAAAAGGAGATCTTGGTCAATTTTAAGAATCATGCAAATGATCTTTGACACGAGCGCAATTGAGCAAACACATGAATTTGCGCTGTTTTTTAGAAGTTGGTGAATGGAAGCTAGAGATATACCCGCGGGTTTGAGGCAATCTGTGATCTCATTGGTGTATAAACTATGCACTAATATGCTTTTTAACCCCGATTAAGGCCTGCATTTTGAGAATTCTTTCGTACAAAGTAGTGAATTTTTGATATGCAAATTAAGGTCGAAGAGAAGGGTCTCCTCTGATCACGCTGGTATGAAAAATAATTCAGCTGAAGTTTCCATACTTTGTCTGTGAACTAACTGAACACATCTTGTAACTTGTAGCAAGATAGAATTCTGTGAGCTACATTGTTGTAGTCGTTGCGCGCTGGACAAAACCTTTGAAATTTACACTTTCGATTGCTGTCCTCAGGGGTGGTCTGGCCAAAAATCACTTTTAGCTTATGGCGACGCAAAAAAAGAGAATTGGGGAACAACTAAACTATTTTTGAAACATGTGTCCTAAACCCTTTTCATGGGCAAAAAATAAAAGAAAACTTTTTTTCCGACGGGAAGTCGAGAGGACCGCTCTTAGCGAGAGTGGCACTTAAATAATCAAATGAAAATGATCCTACCGATGATTGACGTGATTGTGACTGTCGTCTGGGATAGTGACGTTATCATCAGATCACCTTTCAGAACCTCGTGCGTTGCCTCTGTTTTGCATTGCGAAAGAGAGTCATAAAGTCTTTGCGGAGTTGCAATGCGTTTTAATTTTCCAGTGCGTTTATTTCATTCAGCCGTATAAAAAGGACAATCATTAAGATTGTTGTTTTTCCTCCTTTGTAGCTATATTTAGTCTCCATTTCAATTTTCGTTAGTTTTACTTGTTCTCAGTCGTGCATTTGTGCGATCATAGTCGTTCAGTTATTTCATTCTTGTCGCTTAGATTATCATTTAAGTTCGTAATTTAGTTAGACGGCATCGAGCATTTGTATGATTATAAATCGTGTTAATTATGCCAGAATTGAGCTTTAGTCCAGTGATGTCCTAATAGACAGAACTTTCAATTTGTGATGGGGAAGTTTGAGTATGAATCACATTTAATTCTTTTAAGAAGAAAAATTCATCTAGCTGTCTTGCGTCGCGTCCGTTGTAAACTTCTTTTTACTGACTGTCTTCAAGGAGCTCAGCTACCATCTATTGAGTACATTTCTGGTTTGAGTAAATTTCTCATATGTTAGATTGTTTTGGTGGAGAAATACAAAGATCTAAAGGACAGAAAAATTGAATTTATGATATTTGAAAAAGCCTTTTATTGTTTATCAATGTTTTTCAGTATGGGAAATTTCCGCAGTTTGAATGCAATAAGCTCTACGCGAAAAAGCTTATCGGCCGAGGAAGCTTTGAAGAGATTTTCGTCTCACGGAATTCCGAATTCCGACAGGCACTTAGTTCGCGGGAGAGGGGGAGCAATTGACAAATCCGTTTGATGGCATCTTTTATATATATCAGTAAAGAAAATAAGGGGGTCTTCATCTTCAGGTCTTAGTTTTCGGGGACTTCGTTTTGGGGTCTTTGTTTTCGGGGTCTATTCATTTTTAAAACTGAAATCAACTTACTTGGTGATTACGCCGTTGATATGGCAATCACGCCGTTAATCATAAAATCAAATTTAACCAATAAATTAAATTTCAAAACATGGTCATATGTGTGCTGTTGTTACCTACACATTGTTCTGTATCAATTACCGTAATTTCCGGCTGTTTACCCGCGGGTAATCTGTTGATTTTGCATTAAACGCGCGACACTGCGGGTAATAGGGAGGTGCGGGTTATGTGACAATATATTTAAATCTACTGGTGGTTGAATTGAAAAAAGTCTCACCTACATGCGTTTCCACCTCTCAAATGAATTTTATTGTATTAACGAAAACATGATGCCGACTCGAGTCTATTACACGCACAATTAGTTGCGTGACGAACAAATTGTTATCGGCACGCGTGAAAACAAGACCTTGATGGTGACAAATATAATCCAAAGATATCTGGCGCATCAGTAACAAATTTCCATTAAACACTAACTTGAGCAAAAGATAATTTTCCCGTTTTAAGGGACTTGTTAGGCCCAATAGAACCGGAGATATCGATTTTTTTCAGAAATCGCCGACAGTACTTTACAATTCAAGTTTTAACACTCACCCAGAATATTACATTAGGGTTTGATGGCTAGCCCCACAGGACTTTTCTTTTTAAGTTACGATGTGTTTATTGAGGTTAGTTTTCGGCCTTTGGGCTATGAGGCTGCTTTATGTAATGATGAGATGACTGATGAATATAACACAGTCGATAAATCAATATTTCCTAAGAACACCTTGGCTATGCCGATGACCTCTGTGACAGCTTTATGCCTTTTGCACTTAAACTATAGAGTTTCTACAACATCTTTTTAAAACTTCCTGTCCACTGGACCTCAAAGAATTTTGATATAGGACGGCTTCGTTTCTTCGTTTGAGAATAATGCAACCTTCATCTTGGAGGAGACTTATTAGAATTAGTACATAGATCACTAAGTGGCAAATTTTAATTCGACAGAAGTGCAAGAGGAATTCACGTCGAGAGGTTTGAGGCTAAAGCATAGTAGTTATTAAAAAGATTAATGATCAGTTCCGTTATTCCTTACAGTTGTCCAGTGTTCAGATATGTTATGACAAGTGCCTTCAGGAAAGAGGTAATTTTTTGATATTTTAATCGACACAGAAACTTGTGGCACCTTTTTTACGTCTAGACTGAGTGTAGAAAGAGAAGAGTATCGCCGGTTTTCACGGCATAATTATTGGATTATTGGTGGATTATAACCCATTTTATTACATAAACTACGGTGTTATACAAGGATTTCCAGCCCAGAGAAAAGCCGTAACAACACACGTGAAAGGATATCGTATTTTTTCTCGTGTGTTTGATATCACGAATCAGCTGCTGACACGTCACTCGCCTTGCGCGCCACTCGGTCAGATTGATGAATGAACGGCAAAGCCTTTATCATTCTCAATCCAAGGTTGTTTGTGGAAACTTTCGGATTATGGCTGCTAAAACACTGAAAAATACATATCGCTTACAGACAGTGGCGTTCAAACTTTCCTAGAAGGGGGAAAATACGGAAATGTTCCGATCCTTGATCTTGATTAACGGAAAGAAAAACCGAAAGTTATGTATTCAGTGGCTTTGGTAATGGCATTTCTCGCGACTGAGAACGAAAATCGACAACTGGAAAATTTGCCACTGTGTAACTGAAAGAGTTCTCCTGTCGATAAGGACCAAGTCAATGACTGAGAATTTTGTGTATTGAAAATTACGCCCATTTTTTTGTGTTTGTGTAGTGTTTCGACGCATTTTTTCATCTTGAGCCAAAGCTCCAACGCACTTCATGATTTTTATTCTGGACTGTCAATCCTCTCATTTTAATCCATTAATAAAGTTGACTTTGCTTGTCAATAAAGGGCTATTGTGTCTATATGGTAAACAAAATAATACATGGTTGCTTGTTGATATGAAATTTCTCTTCTCGTGTTGAACTCGTCATCCCACTCGTTCGCTGCGCTCACTCGCAAGCTATCGAGTAAAACACTCGGAAAAAAATTCCATATTTTGGTGCGCTCATGTATTATCCTCTATTTATCTTTACCCGAAGTTACGATATCAACAGCTTTACATTGAAATCAGTATAGGCCATCCCATTCCCTCAAAGTCAACTCCATTCTCAAGCTTATCTCTCTTCTAAAATCTCTTGTATTCATCCACGTTTCATTAATTCGTTTTATGCTCAAGGCTGTCACTCGCCTATTTTAAGAGCACCAGAGTGAGGTGACAGGTGGATAAGCGTATGGATTGTTTAATATATTAGCGAAATGTCTAACAAAGTACTCGTGTTTTTTACACGATAAGTTCGCATAGTTTTTATAGAGTATGCTGCTATTGATATGTCTTAAATTTTCTCCAATGGTGATAGGGAAACTGATTTCTGTCGTAGATGATAAGAATGTTTCAATCAGTGAGGAATTGACGTCATCCTTCAAGAGAATCAAACGCGGTAAGCTTTTCTACCAACAAACAAGACAACCCAAGTATCATGAATTGGCCAAAGATGGCTTCTTATTTATTTCTCTCTATATTCAAGTCGGTTCGGAAAACAATAGTTCGACAGAAGGTAGAGCACCACTCTTAAAATCTTCAGTTTTCTTATATCTTAAGATTTTATGGATGGAACATTTCGAATATAAGACATAGTTTGATGCTACTCTGGTTTGCAGATTAATGAATGTAACCGAAGAAGTTACAATTCATAGGCCCAACGTTTCGACACTCCTGTCTAGTGCCTTCATCAGGGGTGATCTAAACGCTGCAACAAGAGGTCGTTTTATATGATCACTAATTAACGGCCTTTTTTCTGACGAGGTGTAAGGAAGCGTCAGGAAGCAAACCGCCATCGTCACGATTTAAAGGAGCGTGGGCGGAGTTAATATGCCAAGCCTCCAAACAAAGGCGCTGGTGGTACCAAATTGTATGGTTGGTTCGGCATGTATGCTCCGATAAAGCTGAATTTTTCTTTTTTGCAAAGAAAAACCGCTTTTTGGTGCTCTTTTAACCGTGTATCAAACTGACGTTTGGTCTGTCCGATATATTCGTTGTCACAGTCATTGCAAGGAATAGAATAAATGGCGTCGGTTCGTTGTCCTTTCTTCGTTCAGGATCCTTAGGTTTGGCGAAAATATGCCCCAAAGTCTGAAATGGTTTTTGAGCAACTTTAACGTTGTGGCTATTCAAAATTCTCTTAATGGGTTCAGTAACACCCTGTATGTAAGGAGTAACAGCAAAACCAGTCGCTTGTTCCCTTTCATCAAGAGCGTTACTATTTGTAACTGGTTTTTGGTAGTTACGGAGAAAAGTTTTTGTATAGCCATTTGCCTTTAGGACATTGGAAACATATTTCCTCTCCTCAGCCTTCGAATCGAGTGAAGATGGTAGACAGTCAGCCCTCCTAAGTAAAGTTTTGGCTACAGACGTTTTATGGCAAATAGGGTGGTGAGAATCTAAAACGAGGTATTTATCGGTGTGGGTAGGTTTACGGTAGACACTTGTCTCTAAATTACCCTGAACCCCTCTGGACACATTTAAATCAAGAAAGGGCAAATGTCTATCCTTTTCACGCTTAAGGGTGAATTGGATCGACGGCTCTACTGAATTCAAATGCGACAAGAGGCGCTCCGCTTTATTTCCGGATACCGCAGAAATAACATCATCGACATATCGTTTCCAGAAAAAGGGTTTAACCGGTGAAGTGGCTATATAATTGTAGATATAAAGGTTATGGAATACATTTCGAGAGCCGTGTTGATCTGTGTCAACGTCTTCAGTCCACACAGTCCATACATTTTTGTATTTCAGCGAAGTGCTCGATAAACAAAAGTGACATTTTTTTTCTATGTTTTCCCATATTCTCAACTAGAAATCCCAGGGAGCGGGAAAAGTAGCAAGGACGGTAAGAGTAAGATATACCTTTTTTCTGATAACACTGAATTTAGCTTCAGTTTTCTATTAGTGGAAAATATGTGAATCAAGTATCGTCACAACCACTTCTTAATTTAGCACCCCAAACTTTCAAAGATCAGTTATACCGAACTTTTAGCCGGCAAAATTGGTCAAAAACTGCCATGTTGGGCACTGTTTAATGGTTTGGTAGGTTTGTGGGAGATCAATAATGAATTAGTCATTTCTTGGTGTACTAACGTTCCATCATGTTTTATTGATGGTTTGGAAAAATAGTAATATAAAGATGCAAAGAACAAAATGAATAACTTTTAAGCTATATCATTGCCCTCGTGTGTGAATTTATAGGTTTACTTTGAAATTTGATAGGATTTTATCCATTTTCCTTACGAAAATTGTGAGAGGTGACATTTCTCATTTCTGGTTCGTTTGGATCGCCACAAGTACCAGTGTCTGTTTGTGCAAGTTGATGTTACAGCGTGATTGTATCAGGAACTCCTAGAACCTCAGTCATGTACTTAATACCTTCGTATTTTATTGAAATACTCATGATTATATTACCTAACTTTTATTTACAAACAAAGCCTGCTTAATGTACAGTCCAGGAAACTTTACGTTTCTTGAGCCCAAGATTACATTCCGAGAACCTAAGGACAATGGAAGTTTTCTGGGAAATGTATCATGGAAACCTCTGTCAAGTATGTAGAGTAACAAAAGTATGGCAACTATCAACCCAAAATATTACTTAATTTTATTTCTCTTGCATTTTTTTGGCACATTCTTGATTTATATTAAAAATTTTTTGCTGTGATCATGTATACATTATAAAGTTAAACGAGGAGTGGATAGCACGTCACCTAAACTCATAAGCAATCCATACAGTAGAGAGAGCCAACCGCACATACGTTAAGGAAAGGATATAAACAATTTTTTTTAAATTTGAAGCAGTAGTACTAGTAGTGACAGTAATAAATTGATGAACTTTAGGCCCTCAGAATAAATGGGAGTCGAAATCGAAAAATTATAATAGTTACTATAATAATGATAATGATTATACTAATAATAGTGGAATAGTAAAGTGTTTGTTTGTTTGTTTGTTTTTTTTAGGCGACGCTTTTAATTGGACTGGATACAGATTGATTTACGTCGTTGGTCCGGTATATCACGAGAAATATAAATGCGTGGACTTCTATAAGGTGAGAGCTGCTAAAAACCGGAAAACTTTACAATAGGCTTTGATCTCCCCTCCTTTTTATATTCTCAACAGGTATTAATTTGTTCAATCTCAGTCACTTTACCATAAATTAACCCCCTTAACAGTACTCCCAGATCAACGTTTTTCCAAGGTGTCTTTTGGCAACCGAAAATTATTTAATGGTTACCAGAAATAACAACATCAGAAAACAAACACGGGTCGCCAGTTTTGCGACTTCCTCTGAAATTTAATCGCCCATTTTTTCATTTAACCTACCATAGTTTCCAGTACGGTCGCAGCTCGGAGCGCTGGCTTTAAGTGCCGTCAGTAGATATGATTTACAATCTCATCTCTCCTCATTCTTTAAACTCTCCGGCTCTAGACACTAAGTTTAAATTAATGCTACATTTTTACCGTATAGAAATCGATTAACTGTATATATATTTTTATTTCAGAACGAGACGAGTTATTTTATAAACAGTGGTCTACCGAATAACACGCGCTTACGACTCATGGCAAGTGTATCCAAATCCATGATCTTTGTTTGATCTTTGGCGAAGGGAGGGGGAATTACGACAACACTATTGAATTACCTCGAAAAACCTTGAGGCACAAAAACTGATATTTAAACCTGTTAAAGTGTGAACGGGGAGCCTCCTTACGCATAATCCTTGATACAGTTTTGTATCAAGGATACAATGCATGCCCTGAACACAAAAACGTATTCATGGCGCACTACATGCGTGATATTCCTTAAATAAGACCAGGCCTCCTAAATTTTACCCATGTATCAATGTAATCTTACTTTAGGAAAAGCACTAACGGGAATGATATCGCAAGAAAAAAAAACTGGAAATATAGATGGTGGTCAGCTGATCAAAGAATCTCTTGGAACTCTGAATACCCTAAACCTGTCTTAAGGCATAAAGTGCTGTCACGGTTCTTTTTTCTGCGTATTTATTAACATCACCACGTAGAAGTGATGAGACGTGCTTTGAAGTAACGTGAAATTTGCAGTACACGCACGGTTTCATTGGTGACTCCTTTACGTTGAGGGCAATGTTAGAAGTTATAACCGATGTAAAAAATACAAGTTCTTCAAAAATAACTGCTTAAATTATTACACAAAATGTTTTTTTTTTGTTTTCGTTTTGAGTTGTTTTTTTTCTTTTGGTAGGTTGTCTCCATACCCTTTGACTTCAGTAAGTCCGAGAACGCGAAACTGATTGATTGTAAGTCTCTTTAAAAGTTTTAGGTGAATCTTAAAAAGCCATACTATACTTTGTATTGTGTTTATTATTTAGTTTGATAATTTCTGCCGTAAGCTTAAGACTGGGGGCTGCGGTGGCCAGTGTGTGATCATGATTTGATGCTAGTGAGCAGTCTCGGGTGAGTAGCTGAATTTAAGTCAGAACAAGCAATTCGAAGCTCTATATTTTCAATCACATTTTCCAAAATCGATTGTTTTAGCCAGAGGTCTATAAAGACCTTCACGAGCCGCGGGGCAAAAGAATTAGTGGCGGCTACATGAGTTTGTAAGTGGGGCTAAATTACCAGTGTTACCTCTTCCACTAATTTTTAAATACATAGGCTCGTTTCTTTTTCTCAATTTTGTTGAAAAGTTTGTACAATTCAAACTGAGTTTGGATATTCACGTAGTCTTACTCCTAAATTCAATAGCGTGCCACGCCATACGTGGCGTCAATATCACCTTTACTTTCCTCTTGCGGATGTAAAATTAGGTGTGAACGGTTCTTCGTAATGCGGAAAAATGTCCTTATAAATGTGGGCAAGTGAAAACAGCTTGGCAGGTCCTTAACGGGATTGAGGCCTTAAACGAATCACTTGTTTTAGTCATCCTCTCAGCATAACAAACACTACTGCGATTGAACATTCAAAAATTGATTCATGTATTTTGCGTAAATGAAGGTAACTATGGTGCTATAGTGCTGTTATTAGTACAGTCGCAGTCCTCGCTAAAAGCACGTTTCGCCAACCATGCATTTGCCAACCGAATTAAAATCTCACGTCATTCTGAATTTCTCTTTTTTTTAACTAAAGTAGAATGAGACATTTGCTATAAAATGTGTCTAACCTCAATGCTAGATAATAAGGTGTAACCACCGACTGTGCCCCTTGGGAAGCCCGAGAGTTTCTCATCTCGTAAGATTTTTTTTCTGTTCTTCGTTTTTTTTTTTTTCTTGTGCAGGCCATATTCCATGCGGTGAAAAGCCAACAACAAGTGGCACATCAATCCCTAAAACAAGTAAAGGAAATTTAATTCTCTTTCTCACTGGACGTTCCCTAGTTGATCTTTTCCATAAATAGAAGGCCTCATTGTTCTTTCCCATACATGCAAACTAGCCCTCTTGGTCTCGGTAATATGTCAAAGGTAGCAAACAAACAAATTGAAAGAAAAATAACTTTTAGTCATAAGCGAGGCTAAGAAGGGTTATTCAAATGAACATGACAGAATGATAGCAGGTAATTTAGTTTTAACAACTGAGTTGAAAACGTAAATTGGCCACCGTGAAGAGTAAAAAAGCTAACGTTTCGAGCGTTAGCCCTTCGTCAGATCGATTGGAGGAATTGTGGGTTGTGTGTGGGTTTATATGCAGAAAGTGGAGCTACGCTATTGGTGGGAGTATGGTGACGAGAAAACAAGAATAAATTAGTTGAATGAAAAGCGCTCGTTGATACCGTGGGGATTGAGAGTGCCGATTTGGAAGATAAATTTTTGTTCTAGTGTTTTGCGGCTTTCCGAACTGCTCAGATGTAAGGGAAGGCTGCGAACTGCCATATGTTGTTTTGAATGATTAGGGAGATTAAAGTGTCTAGCGACTGGTTTGGATGCGTCCTTGTCATTTCTTTCCACGTCGCTAAGATGTTCTCGGAATCGGTCACCTAGTCGTCTTCCTGTTTCGCCAATGTATAACTTATTGCAATAAGTACAAGTTACGCAGTACATGACATTGGCAGGGGTGGACGTAAAGTGATCAGTAATCATAATGGGTCTCTTGGGTCCCGATTTTTTTTCTACGTTATGAATGAAAGAACAAGTTTTGCATCGTGGCTATCCTGTTTCTGTCGTTCAAGCGGGCCACCACCATGCCCAACAAATTGATCGACAATCAGCACTACAAACGGCTGAGAAGGAAAACACTGACCGCATTCCATTCACTCTCATATTTCACCCTCACAACCACGCGGTTCAATCTATCATTCTTATTAAACTTTAAATTACTCTATAACGATTCAGAGACTGGTACTATCTTTTCGCAACCCACCTATTTAATTCAAACGTGACAAAAACATCAGAAGTTCATTTCAAACCAATGACCAATCTGGAACTTTCAAATGCGCTTGCTCAACTACCCTTTAGGCCACATCTCACTTGCAAAAGTTTTTCAACCCTTCTAACAGATCAATAGTCTTTTTTAGCGTGTAATATGAGGAAAGTATGATAAGGATAGCTCCTAGACTGATAAGAAAAAAATAGCTTCTAACACAGTGTCGTCTTTTATTTTCCCTCCTATTTTCATGTAGCTCACCCCACGAGTCCAACATCAGGTGGGTTTAACTTTTCCTTCTCATTGTTCCAAAGATGGTCATATCCTTATCTAGCTTCTAAATACGACCAGCATAAATTTAGAGTACACATCTTGTCAATAACTATTAAGTTAATAACTCTCAAGTTACGTTACAACTTACTCTCAAGCAAGTACTGGTACGAAGTCTGGCGGTTTATTCAAAGAAAGAATGTAAACAGTCAATCTCCTTGCCCTGCAATGCAGGGCTTTTAAGAATGTTGTTAAATTCATTTCTCTTGATTTTGCTTGTGCTGTATGTTTTATATTTTGGTTTTTGTTTATGTTTGCAGGGAATGTGCCAGTTAATCTATTTTTTTAAAATCTCTTTCAGAAAGTAGGAGACCTACTATTATTGTCCTTGCCATTATCCCTGTCACTGTAATTATTTGTGCTGTGTCTGCTCTGCTAATTTTCTGCTATCGACTACAAAAGAAGGCGTCCCCGGGACAATTGGGCTCTTATAAAGGTTGGTGTTCTCACCAGGAATACTGTCTTTTAATAAGCACATTTTTGGAGTCGCAAAAATGTGCACGGAACACTTATACGAAGGCAGTAGTGGAAACGCAGTTGGAAAACTTTGAACGGATTTCCGCTTTTTAGTTTACCTTATGTGCAACACGAAATTAAAGCAATCTATTCCATTTGAGCGGTCTATTTTCGCGTCCGCATTGGTCTGTGGAATTGGAATACTAAACTGTGTAACCTAAAAGACATTTTAGAAAGAAGGTTTCCAGGTTCAAGTCGTTAAAAGATATGGACGTTCACCTTCCGCTAGTAGATAAGACGTTACATTTTAAAGGACCGCCCTCCATCACAACCAGTTCGAAGCTGCTAAATGTACAAACCTGACAGAATAAACCTATTCATTTTATACAAACTCAGCGATCTTAATAACTCAGTTCAGAGCTTTTGGTTCGTATTAACATCAGGAGCAATCATACTATTGTCAAGAGGCATTTTTCACTTCCTACTGGGTCAAAAAAACAAAAAGAAATGTCTTTTTGTCTGTAACACATACTTGCTTGTTTAATTTTCAGATATGCAATTTGAATACGACGCGTTTGTCATATATAGCTCCCAAGATTCAGAGTGGGTGGTTAAAACTCTTATTCCAACTCTTGAGGAAAAGCATGGGCTAAAATGTTGTGTGCATTATAGAGATTTCCCTCTTGGAATTCCTTTTCGTCAAAACATGGTTGACAGCGTTTATAAGAGTAAGAAGACAGTGGCCGTTGTATCCACTCACTTTTTCAATAGTAATTACTGTGGGTCAGAACTGGATTACGCTCTTCACCGACTTATGGAAAAGAAAGATGATAGCTTGGTTGTTGTCAAACTTGATGAAGTCAACAGGAAGAAACTTCCCAGAGAACTCCAAAAAAGGAGTTATATAGACTTTTCAAAGTCCACTGATAAAGAAACCTGGGAGAGAAAACTAGTTAAATGCTTGAGGTCCACCAACCCTCGACCTGAATAATTTGAATGAAGTTCGGAAGCTAATATCACCAAAGGAATTCCTAGTGATATGCTGTTTAAAAACACGCAGTTATTTGTAAGGAATCTTCATCGATGGGATGATCTCTATGTGTTATTTGTTCGGAGTTCGTCTGTCGTATGCATAGAAAGGAGGTTCTTGGAAGTGTGGTATAGTAGAACTACCTTAGTCACTGTATCTAGAGTAAGTACTAAAACTTTAGGGTCTGTTAGCAGTCAACATGTTTTTAAAATAAAGAGGTGAACAATTTTGGTTATTTGTTTGTTTTTGACATAAAACGGTAGTTCTAAAGTGAACTCTTCATTGGTGAAAAAAGAGGAAAAACGAATGCATTGTTTCATTTCGAAACAATTTTTGTGGACGGCCTCATGGAATCGTACTGAATCTACAATTGAATTGTGCGTAACCGAAAAACTCATAGTTATTAATTAATATAAATTATATTAGTGCTTCTTTCCGTAGGCGGACGGGTTGATTTTCCACTTGTCCAAAATATTCATTTCATGCAATTCCGGGCGGAAAGGAAGATTTTCATATGTCTACGTCATACTGTATCTTTTAAGCGACATCAGTTGCGGCAGAGAGAATTCGTTTTTGACAATAGGGTCAGCACGATTCTCGAAATTTCTCTTTCAATTTGTTATTGGCACTGAATTGCCATCATTTGCAGTTTTGGCACATGTACTTGTATACCTGATGTGTCTGATCTCGTTTGGGGCCGCTAGATATTTTCGGAGCAGCCCATTTTACCTTTGTAAATTCCAGCCATTTTGTCTTTTCGAATGCGAGAACGGATTGCATAATTTTTTGTTATGTACAAGAACTTCTTGAAGAAGTTAATAATAATGTGTCTGTTTAACTGGGCAGCCATCGATGATGATCAAAATGAGAAAATTGGTGTTTTGATTCCTGTCATAAAGTCAACACTTTTTCTCAATATTAGCAAACATTTCCTATTGACCTGTTCGGTGCCATGATTAATAACTCGTGAATTGCGCGCGTGCGCAAGAGCGAGTGGTAGATATGATGTGGAGAATGGCACTCGCTCGCTCGCTCGCTCGACTGGTCGATTCCTGGAAACTTCTTTTCGATTTTAGGCTTTTAAGTGCATTTGATAGTTTTTGGCAGGTAATACACAAACGAAATGGCGACCTTTGTTGCTAGGAATAGTGGTGGGGTGAAAAAAAAAAAAAAGGAAAAAGAAGCCAATGATAATCTTGAAAGAGTTTATTTATTTTTCGTTTTAGTTTCAACAAGCGGCGCCAGCGAAGATTCATTAGAAATATCACTTACTCCGAAGCGCTCGGAGTTTACAGGTGTTCAAAAGCGTTTTCTGTTACGGCGTGAGATTGGGGACAAAATCGATCATTACATTTCGTATCGTGTTTTTTCTGTGTGAAGCAACAAAGGGTGCGGTGGCCGACAACTGTCACGGCACTACAAACTTTACTCACGGCAAAACAAAATTAATGGGAAAACAAAGGAAACGACTTGGTCAGCGGTTGGTCAGCGGTTGTTATTTGCATCTGAAAGGGTTCGTGGTGTAACAATAAACAAACGAAATGGCGACCTTTGTCGCTATGAATAGCGGTGGGGTGAAAAAGAAGCCAATGATAATCTTAAAAGAGTTTATATTTATTCGTTTTAGTTTCAACAAGCGGCGCCAGCGACTGGCAGGCGTGCGAGGATTCACAATAAAATTAGAGAACAACCTTCGTTTTTCATAAAATTGTAATTTACAATCCTTGAACTTGAAAACAAGCCGAAGATTCACTAAAATTATCACTTAATCCAAAGCGCTCAGAGTTTACAGGTGTTCAAAAGCTTTTTCTGTTATGACGTGAGATTGGGGAAAAAATCGATCACTACACTTCGTATCGTGTGTTTTCTTCTGTGTGAAGCAACAAAAGGTGCCGGCGATTGACGAAACTACAAGTTAACACGAAAATCACATAACACCTAAACAAATAATTTTGGCTACCGATTTTCAGTGAATTTTTAAAGAACAATTTTCTTTTAGGTTTTAAGACAATTTGAAGATTCAAAATAAATATTACGTACTAAAATGCGAAAGTTGTACACAAAATTGATAAATAGGCCTGAAATGAAATTCTATCTTGTTCTCGATTATACGTTGCCTAGCACGTGACCAAAATCTACCCAGGTGGAAATCCAAAATGACGGTGCCAGTCTGGACTTAGTTATATCACTCAAAACTCGTTTCCGTTTGTCTCATTTGATAAAGAGGGAATCATTAATGTTTTCATTAGACAGTAGTTTTCACTTTTCACCCACATTTACTTCCAACCTTTTCTTTTCAACCAGAAACAAAAATGATATATGTTTAAAACACATGACATCATCCACCCTTGTCAAATGTAATAGCATGATCATTTCGATTGCAATGCCTTCTTATCCTAATGTTACTTTGTTTCTTTGCTACATAAGCGAACACTGAACTACTGCTCGTACTCAAAATACGACAATCAACCACAAAATTCCCTAAACCAGATAACATTAAACATAATCCAAAAATCATGTAAATCATCTGTCAATTCACGAGTTTGCACACAGGGCTCGTGTTATCTCTGCCAAATTGAAATAGAGTTTGTGTAATTTTTCATGGCTTTCAGCTCACATTGGAGGAGGAAGTGTGTTTCTGACAACGCAGAATATGAAAGGCATAGTTAAGATGAAGAGAAAACACCTTACGGGCCTTCGGTGGAAACTGCCGTTTAATATTTCATCCAGAGCCATTCATTTTTTTCGTCTTTATTGAAATGTTCTCAATCGTAGTATGTTCATGGCAAACACATTGCGTGAGACTGAGGAGTTAAGCCGAGCGTTCTTCTTTAAAACTACTGGCTCACACATTCCACGCAATCCCTTTCCAAACCTTTAGAGGTCTTACACTTACACCAACCCCCAACATTACATATTGAACTTTTTTCTTCTACGGTCGAGACGCAATTCATGATCGTTGTTAGCGATTTACAACTTGGTGGGCATGTGGGATCCCACTGTGGCAAGTCCAGAGGTTCAACGTGTTCCTCGGCATTCTTGGTCCCATCGGTGAACACGTAAGAAATGTAATCTTCATTCTTATCCCATGTTAAACGTTCTGGCTCAGCAGCTTTACCTCGCCCCAAATGTTGCGTACTGTGTGAGGTTGAAGTCGCGAGCAGTAATACAAGTATTACTTTGAAAGGAAAAAACTGTGAAAACATAAAGACATAATTACATGTAATAATGAAGAGAATACGAAGGAATTTGTTTGAAAATGAGGTTTCAAAGATCCATAGTGGTTGTCTTAACTGCGTCGGCGCTTGAAATCGATCTATCGTCGTTATCGCTTAGATTGAAACTGATGCAAAGACAACAGCTCGTCGCTCGCCTTTTGGTTGGTTAACGACAAAGCCCGCCAGAAGTAAGCGTTTCCGGTCGCCGTTCGCGTCTCAGAGACGTTTACAGATAATTAGCTTCCGTTAGTGCCTTGGTAGACGCAATCAATGAACGAAACAGAGCATTTGCTCTGATCATCCGAGCAATTGAGCCGAAACATTTTGTTTCTGATTAGGCTCAATGATTTAGATTAAAGAGTTACCCAATACTTAAAAAATTATTCGTCAATGTACCCTCTTCCTTCGGAAATTAACCGATTAATACCTTGCTGGTGGTTTTAAACATTTCCGCTTCTTGTCGATAACGATGTTCTTGAAAATATCGTCAGACTCCTTGATTACTCTCTTGGCTGGATCGATTATGTGAACTTTTATGTGAGCTACTCAATTTATATCTTTTTTGCAATAAAATTAAGGAGGAACAAACTGTTTACGGTAAATTGAATTTAAATTTAAATAAACAACACCAGCTCATATATGGGCAAACAAAGGTGCACAAATTCGAGTTACACAGGTGGAAAGGATGTGCAGCCCTAAAGTTTTAATGGGAATTTCTCGTTTGGTCTTGTGGGAGTAAAACCATGATGTCAACGGTATTTTAAGCTTTTAACATGTTAAAAGGGAAAAATAAAATAAACCTTCTCCATCTAAAGCAGTCGACTCCGATCTTGCCAAGATCCTCTAGAACGGCACAAAATTCTTTCTCATAGGAAAATTGCCTTTAAGTTTCGTTATCCGGGGTGGGTTGTGCTTTACGAGTTCATGAATAATCAACTTTAAGCATCATCGCCTACCTAAGTGTTTGAATACCGTTTTGACAGGTGATGTTACTATTGTCATTAAAATGCGCTCAAAAGTTATTTTTTCAAGACAGTGTGGCCGCTTTGTGTCCTAAGAACATTACACATTAATCGAGTATATATGTATGGGTTGTTCAAAGTGTCTTTGTCTGTTTGACACAGAGCTCGTCGTCAAACTAGTAGTTCGAAGGTAAACTCACGATCATGAATTTATGAAACTTTTATTTTAAATCCATTAATGACAATTATAGATCATGCTCTTGAAAAACAGAAGTTACCCGACATTGAACTCGCACTCCGCTCTCTTCAAGGCATCTGAATCTGCTCTCATGTCAACGCGGCGCGTCGTGAACCTTTTGAGGGTGCCATGTGCTGACAGCGTGTCTCGAACGTCTTCGCGTTTGATTATTGACGTTTTTATCAGTTGATTTTAGAGAGCTTAACATTCCTATGTGTAGGTGGCCGTGTATTCTGCATGTTTTGATGAAATTTATGATTTGGAATAAATTGTTAGTGCACATAGAAATGTTATGAAAATGAAAAGACTGAGACGTCGTAAAGAAAAATTGTTCTAAAGTTTTCGCAATCGAAACACATGGTTCTGGTACTACATGGCACTTGAAATAAGCTGCGAATATTTTCCTGCTTGGTGTGGTTACCTTCTTAAATACATTTTAGACGGTGAAACTGGTGACAGTTGATCACAAAAAAAAAAATTCATTTTGCATTTTGTTAACATTACCCGTCTTTGGTTACATAAGGATTCTGATGAAAAAAAAAAAAAAAAAAGAAAAAAACGTAAAATATTGACTTACATTTCCACCAATATCGTACATTATGGACGGTTCAACTTCTTCAGCCTGGATCGCTACTCGTTAGTTGTTTCAGTATTTATGTCTTTCTTGGCTATCGCATACGATTATTAATCTTTAATCGACTATTAGACATTTTGTAGCCTAAGTTCCTAGCAAGTCACCAGCTGTTTTAAAACGAGAGAATTCGTTTATACAGCTCCATTATGATGATGCCGGCCTTCAATTAATAAAGACTATCATAATCATAATAATAAAGACTATCGAATGATGTGGCATATTTCATAGTGGTTTTGGAAGGAAAAAATAGTGAGTTAAGAACTATTAGTAAATTGAGGAAAGATGCCTTTCCACAAAAAAAAGAAAGAAACTAAGCATGCGATGAAAAAGAGGGGCTCAGCTGTGTCAATCCTTTGCATGCATAATCTTCCTTCCGCGTTTGTCGAGCGTTTGAGATCATATTGTGAACATTTTGTATGATAATAAGTATATTTAAGAACTTTGATCGGAAGTGTATTCTTGGCATTTTTCTGGGTAGTTCCTATCATAAAATATAACGCATGCAATGAAACTAAAAAAAATACAGCATTATATTTCATTCGTCAACAACCATTTAAATACAAACTTAAGGTGGGTTCTCTGAACAACTTTGTGTTAGGTGCGTTGTGTTGTAACTTCGTCGGATTAACTTTATCCCTACTTTTGTTCACTCTGTGCTCACGTTGTGATGGACGAAAAAACGAAAAGCGACAACAGAGTTTATCAACTTTTTAAAATTTTCTACCAGGACGTTTTTAACTGAAAGAAGTTAGAAATATACTAACCAATCTTAATCAGCTTACGCCAGTTGATTATGATTCATATTCCTATTAACTGCTGTTTAAACCCTATAAGAACTGGATAGGGAGAATTCAGGTGTTCATAGTCACTAAATATTGATAACCAGTTAGCAGCAGCTGGCTGTTATGTGGCGTCGTAATTAAAACATCGCGTCGCTTCTTTCATCTGGTGTAGGTCTTTATCAACTTTATTTAAACATCCTGTCACCCAAAATATTTCCTTTTCTATTTTTGAGTATCATGTCTATCTATTTAGTAGGTTACTATAATAATTTTAACATTTGTGGACCGAATAAAGTGGGGTGAGAGGGAAAAGTATATTTAACTATTTTTTATTTTTTATTTTATTTTATTATATTTTCGAAATAAATACTTGGAAAAATTAGCTTGTACCTGCAAATATTCTTAGGACTGTCGGTTGAACTCGTAACGCTGCGTGAGTTCAATTTTTTGAATTGCTAAGAGGATAGTTGGACATACGAGAAACAACGCGAATAAAATATTTGGGAAAAAAAAACAAACAAAAAATAAGGAAACAAATATTTTCCTCAAATTTTTTAAAAGTCTCTTTGCGTAAATGCAACTGGACCGGAATCAACATTTCAGGTGCCTATGCAAAAAACAATCATGGCAGATATGCAAAACAGGCGCATGGAACTCTGTGTAGAAAGTCGGTTTTCAGAGAGGCAAAATAGGAACAAATGAGCTTATTTTGCAAAAAAACAAACAAACAAACAAAAAGGAAACAAATGAGATTCCTCATATTTTCTAAATCTCTTTGCGTAGCTGGACCAGATTCAACATTTCAGGTGCCTATGCAAAAAAACAGCAAAAAACAGGCGCATGGAACTCTATGTACTGAGTCGGTATTCAGAGAGGCAAAACAGAATATTACAATATAATCCATATTACCTATTGATTTGCTTGGGAGTCCGTTACCTTACTTTATTGACTCCTTCCAGCTACCTTGCCTCGTGGGTGAAACTTGTAACTTGAAACTGAACTGAAACTTGAATCTAAACGGAAACTCCGTAAGGCCCACGTAACGCCTACGCGGAGGTCAACACTGAAGAACACAAAGTGTATGTGGGAGATAATTATCACAGAATTAAGGAAAAAATACTTGTAAAAGGGTGATCGCGTTTCATTATACGTAATTTAAGTTGGGGGTAGTGAAGAAAACACTGATGAAAATTACCTGTGAGGACATGTGACTATTTTCGACCTCCGCTCTGCTGTAATGATTGTAACTGTATGATCTACAAATTTTTTAGAAGTTTGAATTGAGCGAGCGATCTGCTGTCCTAAGTAGTACTCGTCTGATCCAAAATTGTGCGAATTCTTTCACCCTGCTATCAATTGCAACAAAGGGGAATACTGCTCGATAAGTGCCGTTTTAAAAAACGATGTTAAAACTTTTAAGGCTAGTCGATTAACTTTTCATCGCACATATAAGGAGATATCCCACATTTATCGGTGAGGTATGTGACAATCAGTACCAGAAGATCATACTGATAAAAATGTTCCTTCTGCCTATCGATCGGTTACCGATTAGCTTTTTCCGCTGTCTTTAAATTAACAAGAAGCCTTAGATTAACATCGATTACCCTTCCTGCAACAATCTCCGAACTTTATTGGACTCCGTCAGGTCCTGCTGTCATTATACATAAATAACCCACCTCCGAGCCCTCACATGTCAAAGACTAGAGCCAAAAATTGGGCTCAATCACGCAATTAAGTTCATGTTCGTATGGCATCAAACCTAAACAAAATCATGGCCATTCTGGGGGGAAAATTTCTTTGTGTGATTATTTTGCTAGTGTCAATTGTCTTTCGTTTCATGGGGATCTAAATGAAGGGGGAAAGATTGACTAAGATACTCGCCAGTGTTCTTAGTCATTGACAGTTAGACTCCCTCGGACTTAGAATATCCCTGTTTTGTCGCCACAACATTCATGGGTCTCTTACTGTTTGAAATCAATTTAGTGGACTGTTTTCGCCTGAATGACTAAGTGAGGGTGGAACGTATTGTTGTGGCTTCGTGTGATACCTTCAATTGCACGATTTTTTTACATTGAAAGCAATCAAGAGAACAAACACAGCACGAATGACTTCTCTTAATGCGGTGTTTTTTTTCTTGATGTTTTTTTTTTTATGTAATCACAGCGAACAATCATTACTTATCGCCTGGGGAGAGAGGGAGTCGGATATTTGGCTGCCCCTTCCCTTGCGCGTGACTCGCGCCTCGCGCTCGCCTCGCGAACACAAAAGGATCCCATTCCTGGCAACTCATTCATTAATGGTTGCCCTTTATGCGAAAAAAAATGCGAGGATAGACAACTTCTGACGTTAAAAAAATTAAAAATTAATTAAAACGTTTCGGTCAGAGACCTTCATTTACAACTTTTTAATTTAAAAAAAACTCTAAATAAGATCGAGGTGCTAGTAATTACTCAGGCGCGAAACTCAGAGTCACGCAGAATCGACGCATCCTCTTTAAGAGCGCTTGTCTGTAAAAATCAAACAAATTCTAAAATTTCGCGGCAAGGGTGAAAAATTCGATTTCTTTCTTATTTTAATATTAGATAGACTAGATTATAACTAAAATCACTGGATACTTTTTTTGGCAAAATATCTTTTTAAAAGTTAATTTTCAGCATGTGCTAAACCTTCAAATGGATTAATCTTTTGGCGGTAGAATTACGAAAAGATGTTCTCAATATTACTGTAAATATTTCTTTGGGCAAATGATTGAGAGCGATACGAAAGCTTTTCAAAGTCCGTTAAAATGCAGTTATTTTACATTTCGTGGTCAACATTCCAGTCGCAAGTCACACATATTTTTATATGTTTCAACTCATATGAGGCCGGAAAATGTACATGGGTACACATTTCCAAATGCTCTAACCTCATTCGCCGTAGAAGAAACATCCAAAGACCATTTCATTGTGGTTATCTTGTCGCTCGTCGTATTTATAACGTCCGATGAAACTGCCTGTC